TATCAAAAAGATGATAAAAAAAAAAAAAAATAATATAAACTTTTAGTTTTGATCCTAATTTAGAAATAATAGCTTCTACTGCAGGTGAATATGCATGAATTAAACGATGGAAAAAGAAAAGGACTTATTTCTAGCTGGTAGTTGATATGCCTTGGTGCTGGCAGGTTTAGCTTAGTTGTTAACCTTTTTCAGAGCACAGCCTATATCTACAACTGTTCTCACTATTTCCAATATTGCAAACACTTCTCTCACAATTATTGCAAATTTTAAACAATACATTTATCTGTACATTGGCATGCAAAAACTTTGGGGCAACTACATAAATTGACTATACACCTTTATTTTCTTAAGAAATAATTGTTTAACAGTATGCTTTTATCAGTAGTGTCTCTGGGCCTTGACAATTGGAAAATAAGTTGTTGCATTTTTGTAGGTAACAAGATTTAAGTAGTTTTAAGTGCAAAGAAAACCAGAAGACCACAAAGGTTAGGCAAGAGAGATTAAAGAAAAATTGTGAGTCTTAGTAAATAATCCAAAATTAACAGCCAGACAAGTGTGGGGCGAATGCATTCTTAACAGTGAGGTTTCAGTTGATCCAGTACGTAGAGTATTATGAATGAAAAAAAAAACCCAACTTGAATTGGTGTAATGCAGCAAAAAAGAAAAACATCATTAATCAAAAAACATTGGAATAGTGTTCAAAGAATATCTAACATGGGAGGCTGGTAAAAACATTGGAATAGTGTTCAAAGAATATCTAACATAGGAGGCTGGTAAGTAGATGGAAATCTAAATATTGAAAACTATACTAGTTTACTATGTTCTAATCTTGTGCCAGGCTACAAAGATGGAGAAATTTTTCAGAATGACGGTGTCCCTTGCCACATATCATGTGCAACAAAATAAAAAGAAATAACATCAATTAGAGCAGTGTTTTAGTAGAACTCTTCATAAAAAACTGGACAAAAAGAGACTGGACTGTACTATTTTTAGCTACAAGTGAAGACACCTGAAAGTGGTACCTAAAACTGGAGGAAGGAAGGTACCTGGGGATATTCAAATTGACAAAAAGGTCTGGATAAAATCAGTAGTTGTTTGTTGCACAACACAATAGGGAGAGGGGAATAGTGACCGCCACACTTAACAAAATCTCAGATGTGGTGCTGGGATCCATTTTAGATGAGAAAAGTGATAGACATGTCGGATGATGATGAGTTAGGTAGATGAGAAGTTATCTTTCTTTTTTAACTGTTGCTCACAATATGAGACTCAAGGTAAAGGGCTACTGAATGAGACTGTTGAAAGTAGATAACGATTGAGTCTAGACTTGAAGAAGTTAAGACTGTATGGAATGGGAAGAAACTGTCTAAATGGAGTATAAAGGGAATGAGGATGATTCAACTCTGTGGATATAGATCAGAGGTATTGGCTGTAAAGGTCTGAATTGATGAAACTAGGGAATGTAGTTTGTTTGAACATTTTCTATGGAAATAGCAATAGAGCAGTGGGAGGTTTGTGATGCTATGTATTGTCAAGACTGGACAACTCCAACCCATGGCAGTAATACTCCTTTTTTGGTCTGATCTGACTCTTGTCAAGATAGAGTGTGGCAGAAGAGCCAGATACTTCCTAGATTGCTACAAGAAACCAACCATTTTAGCAATGAATCATATGCATGAGTTCCACTACAGATATCAAGTGTTGAGACCCAATAGACATTCAAAGCAAGGGCCTTATTGAGAGTACAACTATTCATCGTGGCAGGTGAAAATTCAGTGTCTGCTTTGCGATAATGAAACATTACTAGTTTGGTTTTGGAAGGAATTGAATGCTACAAGCTAGTTTTTTTTCCCTTATTAAGCTAAGGTCAGAGGAGGGATCAGCTACTAGGCTCTGGCCATCTAGATTATTGGAGATACACTCATAAACTGTAGTATCATCTGCATAGATATTTACTAATAATGAGAGAATATTCTTAGGCAGATTATTAATAAAAAGCAGAAATAGAGCACGACCGAGGAGGGGGCCTTGGGGTACATCTGCACTGATCATATAGGCTTCACAAGACTAGCCATTAACAACCACCTTAATTGTTCTACATAAGAATTTGATAATTGTGAAGACTACCAGAGACACCATAGCTGGTTACAACCCCCTACACCTTGTCAAAGGGCTTTGAGACAACTAAGATGATTACTCTCATGACAAATTTATTATTGCTTTACTGATTTTGTTACTCAGGAGCTGTTTCTGTTGAGGTAATCAACAACCATCTTATTGATCAGAGACAAAATGTTTACTGATGACACCATGGAGGCTGATAGGATAATATTGTGACAGTGTTGAGTGCTCACCCACATACTTAAAAGTTGGAGCATACTGCTGACACCTTCTATAGACTTGGGAAACATTTCTCCTTCAAGAAGTAATTAAATAACTTTACTATCACTGAAGATAACTATGAGCAAAGATTCTTAAGAACAATCAAAGGGATTTTATACAGACCAATAGATTTCATAGAGTCAAAGCTATTGATTAGTCTGGAAACTTTGTATGCCAAAATAGAGATATAACAAAGTTTTTGCTCTGTATGAAGTATATGTGTGTGTGGAGGGGGAAAAGAATCAGGTAAGGGGTGGCCCTTGTTATCTAACATGGAGATAGAGGCAAAGCTCATTGAAAAGAGTTTTAACCTTATCCAACAAGGATTAGATAACTTCAGGAACATTTGTAGGAAGCGACAGTTTGTCTCTATTTAAAATTTTGATTGTGATGTTTCAGAACTTGCAGTAACTAAGTTTTTTGTTTTCAACTTTAGTTTGGACTAACTGCACATAGTTGCTTTTTGCATTTTTCAGAAGTCTCTTGCACGGATTGAAGTCAGTTCTAAATGTGACAAAGCTCTATTACACTGTTCCATATGATAGAGATAACAGTATTGGTTATGCAGAGTTCTGGCAATAGCACATTCAGGCATGAATAAAATGTGGTTATTCAACTTTTGTTGATACTTTTGGTAGGTGATAAAACTATCCATGCCAAAGAGAATCTATTTTTTTAAAAACACGGAAAGAGGATCTTTGGTAATGTGAGATCTTAAGCTATTCCAACCGGCTTTGATGTACCAAAAGAGTGTCTTATGAAATGGGATATTGGAAGGTAACTTTGGTTTGGTATCAATCTTCACATAGACTAATGAATGGTCTGAAATGCCCAACAGAGGTAATATGCGAGTAAAAGCATCGGTTAGGACAGGAGATGAGAAAGAGGTCAACAAGATTTGCATGATGCCCAACTATAGACAAAAAGTATTTCTTAAAAAAAAAAAAAAAAAAAAAAAAACATTCAGTACTTACAGAGTATTATTTGCTTTTATTTTTCAGTCTATCCAGACTACTCTTATCAATATGTTCCAATTTTGATAAAAGCAAATACACTGTAGTTACTGAAATTTTATCATTTACTTGTATATAAAAAAATCTCATTCTAAGGTGTTTTTAAATAAATGCAGGGTGTTCCCAAAACTTTTTACCTGTAGTGTATACACACAGACTTATCAATAATCTGTGCCAGCCCCCCACCCTCAGCAATGAAGAAATTATGACAGTATTTCCCTTCGTCATCAGTTTTTTTTTTTTCTGAGTGGACTAGCCACACCTTGTGGTGTTTAATGAAATCTCAAAGACCATAAAAGAGAGGTGTGTCCAGTCTGCTGGTCACATGATGACATTATGTGAAAGTGATCTGTGAGAATTGGGAGTGATTTGGGTAAAGAAAAAAAAATTACTGTTTGAAGGTTTATGTATAAGTTTTTAGGGTTAAATTAAAAATAAAGACTATGATTGTCAATGATTAACACCATTGTACAACACAGGAAGCAGGGACATCAGCAAAGAAAGAGGGCAGAAAGAAAGGTGTGAATGTAAACAAATGATCTGTCAGTTTTGTAATTTGGTTGAGGAACTGTATGAATTGTGCATTTTGAGTAGAGCCTAGTAGCATTAAAAGTGAGATATTTTATGTCTATCTTTTTTTTGAAATCACAACAGTTCAGCTTTCAATGCTAGAAAACATTTTTTATAATTTTTCAGAGATTACTCCCCATTTCCCATTTTTTTAGATTTAGCAGTGATCTTCATATCAATAATCATTTTCAGTGATTATCCCCCACCCCCTTTTCCTTTTCAATGAAATGATATCAATTGACACCAAAATTAACTAAATACATTTTATGATCTTGAAACTTATAATGGCTATATCTTAACATATAATACATGGCAAATGGCCAAAAAGTAATGCCAGTTTTAATTTAATTTTAGTAGAATTAGAATTTCATTTATTAACCTATAAAGTATAAAGTGTCTAGAACCCCCAACGGATTAAAAATTAGTGAATTTACTTTCTATTCAGTGTAAAGGAAGAGACATGAAGTATTGCAAATAAAACTAGCCTCATGGCAATGAACCTACTCACATGTTACTCATTATTTATTTTTTTAAACCAAAAATGAGACAACTGTACTTTAGCTTCTCTAATGTCTGGATTTGGTCCCTGCAGAATTTGTTCTCACTCTAAAAGGTCTTTTATTTCAGAGGATACAAGAAAATTTGTCATGAGACAAGTTCCATTATGTTGTTTTTGAGGAATAACTTAGTTTTTTCAAATTGGTTTCTTTTTGGACATACCTTAATAGTTAAAAAATTATTTTGCCAATATTTTACAAGATAAATAATAAATTCTCAAAAGAGTAGAAAATATATGCTTCATGCAAAATTTAAAATAATTCTTAAAATTGTTATTTTAATATGTCAATAAATGTACATAATCTTTAATGTTTATGAGATTTAATTTGAATTTTACTCAAACAACTTTCTAAAATCAGAGAATATATCAAAATAATAAGTAGGAAATATTTTATACTGTTGCTAAAAGACAGAGTAGCACTGTCATTTGTTATTTTAATAAGTTTTGTACAGATATTAAAATGAGTATACACTGACCCTGAATTAGCAGCAACTTGGTTGTACTGATGCATAAGCACCATAGCTCCATCCAAGAGAGTTTGAATATCACGAAGCCACTGTATCCGTGCCTCAATGTTACTTCGTTCTTGACCTTCTAAAGTAGCCAATTCTTCAACAGAAAGTCCAGGCAAAACATAGGGACTATGAAGACCTAAAGAATTAAATAAAAAAAAATAAAGTCATTATAAAACTTAGGTATGTAAAGTAACATAAAACCAGAATTGTAATCAAATAACAATGTTAAAGAAAAAAAAATATCAAAAATTGTTTATTACCAGTGTTATATATTAAAAAAGAAATTTGTATAAAGTTAATTTTTTTTAAATAATGAAAGGTACTGTATTATATTATTATATTTACAAACTATATTGATAGAATTTTCTTTTTCTTTATTCTAAGGGAGAAGAAAAATTGTATACTGTTTACTGAAAATAATAATAATAATCTATCATTGATTAAAAATTGTTATTTCATATTTTTCATGTGTAATTTCATATTTTTCATGTGTAATTTCATATTTTTCATGTGTAATTTCATATTTTTCATGTGTAAATTCTTAAAATAAGAATTTTGTATCACTAACCTGATATTTGTCAAGAAAAACATCAGAGGAAATTTAAATATTCCATCAGATATAGAAATAAAAACATTTGGTGCAAATTAATAAGATAATTTTTTATGAAATCACTCAGTGTTTATACATGATAGAGTAAAAAGAGTAAATTATAATAATTATAATAAAAATGTACTTGCCTTATTTTTTTTTTAATAATTGCTGTTTTGTGATCAAATTAATATCTTAAAACAAATGTGCTATACTGGAAGTGTTTAAAAATTCTCAGCACTTGATACAGGTGTGATGTTTATAAACATGAGAAATACAGATATTTTGAATAATTTTCAATAAAAGGAGATAGGAGAGTGAAAAATGTTCTTTAGAATGTCTTTAGAATGTTTTTTTTTAAATATTTTTCTGTAGAGATTTTCCTTAAATTATTCAGAATTTAAGGTTGAAACTAAAAATGAAAACATTAAATCTGAAATGCAAGTCCAATGTCTGCAATAAGTAATATAGGTCATTAATTTTTTTTTTCATTCAAGCAAAATTAAATTTTAATGAAATCAATATATTTTTTATTTATTTTCAATTTGATTGTATTCATAGACATTTTCACTCAAGCAATTTAATATTTTTTAAAATTTGTGTGTGTGTATGTGTGTGTGTGTATGTAATAGAATTTATGCTACCTACTATTTCAAAGTTCTTAATGATTTCGATATAGTTATGGATAATTCATGCTACATCATATTTTTCGCAGGTATTCAGAAAATGAATTCCTTAATTTTAAAGCTAGCAATTTTTAAATAAGTTTAACTAAAAACTTACTGATTGTCAAATATTATAGTGACATTCTTTTGAATTTTGACGTAAGATTCTGAAATATTTGAATTTTCCTTTACACAAGTAAATTTTATAAAATCTGGAACAGGTAGTATACTTTGTGTGGGAGTGAAATTTTTTTGTTTAAGATTAACATTACTTCAAAGAGAAAGATGAGCACAAAAAGAACTCAACCAGAAATTCATGAATATTTAGAGATGACTAGAATTGAAAGAGAAGATTCTAAAATAAACGACTTTTTTTTTTTTTCCTGTCTTTTTAGGGTATGGACAATTGTTTCTGGCTGAAAAGAATCATCTAGAATGGCTCACACAAGAGACAAAGTCAGAAAAGTTCTCATTGTTTTCTGCATTTTTGAAGAGGGATTTCCAGAAAGCAAAAAGTATTCTTTGGTATAGTGAAAAAAAAAAAGATAAGATTTTATTTTATGATGATATTATTAAAAATATCTAAAAAGTCTTATAGATTGTAAGAGTTTTTATGTTCAAAAGTTTTAAAGTTTGTTGTATAACATACCATAAGGTGTTAATGGTGTGAAAGGTAGAAATGGCATATTATTAGGAGCAGCTCCTGTCAATGAAGCAGAAGGTGTTGATGCCTGATTGGTTGAAGACTGAACTTGCTCACTTGATGTATTGGTAGAATCACCTAATAAAAAAAAAAAAAAAAAAAAAAAAAAAGTAGCTGTGTTAAATGTGTAAAAGAACAAACTTGAAACTTGATTTATTTAGATTCTTTGTTCTGGCAAGTTTTAAAATAGAATAAATTTGTTGATTCACAATTATAAAAAGTTTAGAAAATAAATTTATCTATTCAATGTAAAAAGTTTCCATCATTTTTTAACAAAATCTTATTCTCATTCATTTATCAAAATTTTAACCTGCTTTTCTATGAGCTTACACCATCTGCAAATAAGTTCTGTAGCCCCTACTGTTCATCTTGAGGCTCTCAACAAAATCCAAAGATAGATATGCAATGTGATCAGTCCTGACTTAGGGTTTCAACTCCAGTCACTTTCTCACCAACATAATGTGGCTTCCCTGTCTTTTCTATAAATATTTTCATGGCAACTGCTCAGATGAGCTACTATCACTGGTGCCCCGACTGCATTAATTCAAGCGTGCTACTAGGTTGGCATTTTGGTTCAACCCTGTTACTGCTAAAACTGTTAAATGTAACCGCCTCTTTTACTCCAACAGCTTCTTTTCTCACACTACCTAACTTTAACTTGCTTCTCTGATAATTATAATCTTCAAAAATTTAAATGTAATGTCAATTGATATCTTCTGTTGCTTTGATTTCCGTTCTTTTTATCCTTTCCTCAACCCCCTACCCCCAGTCTTTTCTCACTGTAGCCCCTTGTGTATTAGTGGCACTCCTGCCTTGCTTGGAGTGAATTCCTTAAAAATAAAAAAAATAAAAAAATAAATAAATAATAAACAAAAACAATGATTTCACTTTAGGTTCAATGCACAATCACAAACAAATGTATAATACATTTTTATTATTTTGATAAAACCTTACTATTAATCAAGCTTCCCTAAAACATCTCCAATTTTCAGCAGAAAATTCTGAGTGGCATGATCATATTACTTATGCAAGTGTTTTTTCTTCTTTATTGTTATTGGTGACACTGTAGATCACATGATGTTAGTTCAAAGATTATACTTTTTGTAGAAGACAACCACTGCTTTGGAGTTGATGTTTTTTAAAAAAAAGTTATGTTCCATCTAACATGTCAACATTTGGTATTTCAAGTTTTGAGATTTTAAAATCCCCTTAAATTATGTAATGTCAGCCAGTAACCGAACCAGCAATTTTCATGCTTTTCATGCATTTTAAATTCAAAATATAATACACCAATATGAATAAAAATTGTATTAAACTACAATTTTCTCTTTTCTCTTTCAAGATGTGTTATTTATTTGATTTCATTTATAATGAAACACACAAGCATTAGATGTCAGTCGTAATGTAACTGTTGTAGGCTGCATGAAAACTAAAGTCTTGTGGCTGTTGGGAAAAAGTGTGCATCATGTTTTCATTACTCAGTAGATCAAAAAACACAATACACATAATATTTTAACCCTTCTGAATGGCTGGAAATGGCTTTATAATAAAGGCAGACAAATTAGGTGCAGAATCATTTTGTATGTTTTCTTGTCAAAACTATTTTAAACTGAAACATTTTGTGCCCCAAGAAATACCATATCTTTTGGAAAATTCAATTAATTCCTCTTTTTATAAAACAAAAAAAAAGATGGTATATGAAATTATGCACTTTCCTCCAAGTAAATGTGGGGACAACAAGAATCATTCAAATAAAATGTAGCCAACTCATTTCCGAGATAATAAACAACCAAAATGACATTTTGATCCAGGACACTTAGTCCTGGATGCTGCAACTTCCAATTTATATCCATTTCATGATGTTTTGGAGGAGCATTCTTGTGATTCTTCAATGAATTTACTTCATAATTCTTAGAACTATTGTTTATAATAATATCTATTAAAATAGTAGCCCATATGGATTAAATTATGGCTCATTGCATGACAGGGTTATACCAGCTATGTCTGCCATGAGTTAATTTCACTGACTGGTCAGAGATTGATTTAATTCTTTTTTTTCAAATGTGTAAGGTTCAGACAAACCTATAAGTTGAGTAAATGAGTGTATTAAGTACATATTTATTTTCAAAGTACTGTAGTGAAGTCTGTATTTCAAAAACATTTTTTAAGTTGTTAAGGAAAAATAAAAAGAATATAATTTAAAAAAATATTCTACCAAATTTCAACCAGTAACTTTCAATATATTTTTCCTTCAGATTAACATAACTTTTTAAAAAATTATCTTGTTGAATCTTTTATGGATTTGGATTTTTCTCTTTTTATACGACAAAGTGAATGCACACATCATCACAACACTTAACATAAGGAAGAGAAAGAAGAGCACCTCAGCATGGTTTAATTGATAAAATCAATAGCAGAACAGTACAATCTGATTAAAGTTGATTTGTCTGCAACTAAGGCATTAGACTTATATAAAAACATTGCTGATGTTATGCAAATTGTCAACTTAAAAAGTGATTGGTGAGATTGAGAAGACAGCAACAGTTGTTGTCAAAATTGTTTTTCTTTTCTTTTTCTGATAGACTGTTGACAATGTGTAATTTCCTAGATAAGGATTTTTACTTACAAAAATCTACCTGCTTATATAGCAGCTGAAGAGCACAAGGCTGGTTTAGAACTAAATTCATTAACTTTTTGGACAATTTGTTGGGAATTTTTATACTTTTACAAACATCTTCTTTCACTCCTTTTGGTTAGTGGTGTCATAATTTTGAAACTGTTTAATATTTATTTACACATTACACTGGAGATAGTTGTATATTCATACATATTCTTAATTTAAATCAAATCTAGATTAAAAGTCATGCCTGTTTTTACATTGTACCTGTGCAACTTTGCACATCTCATTTTGGCTAAATTTACAACTTTGTGACAGTATGTCTGGTGTGTAGTATTATTTAAGATGCACCCTCTCTGATTCAAGTACACATGATGGGGTGAATACACAGCCTTAGTGGATTCATGTTGTTTCTAGTCACTTATACAAACTTTGAACTTATGGGTTATTTTTCAGCAATAATAAAAGCTTAATAAACTTCAGACCCTAATACTTTTTAACATGCAAGGCGTAGTAATTTTGCATTAACTTATACTACCTGTTTTTATCTCTACAGTAAATTTAGTTATTCTGAATTTAACTAATTCAAGGTGATGATGATTAAAAGATTTCATACTTTACAAGAATGATTTGCAGTATCAGATTTTAAAAAACGATATTACACAAAGGAAATAGACATTAGAATACATGAAACAGTTACTATTTATGTACATGTTATAGAAAGAAAGCTACTTTATCTAACAGTGACCATTCAATTGTTGTGTCATGTAAACTGCATAAGGAGGTTTGATAGAGAAGCCAGTGAATGAAATAAGGTGGATGTGAAATCCTATTATGGGCTGTAGGCCAAAGAGAAAACTAAAGGAAGAGTTGTCAAAGTTTGTTTCAGTAGTTATAACACTCATCACTCTTAATAACTTGCCAAAATTAATACAATGGGTCTGAAATTTGATTTCTTTGTTTTCTTTTTGTTTAAATTCTACAGGCTGTAAATTTGATTATTATTTATATTACTATTATAAAGAGTGACTATTTCTTTACTTAAAACTTTTGTCAAAAATATATCCGATTTTGAAAGGACATTTCTGGGATGGATTGAATTTTCATTTGTGTGCATGTAAAATAACAGCAAACACATTAGATTAGCACATCTGAGATTGCTTCACTACATCCTTTATAAAAAAAATGTGATAGAATTTACACATAGAAAATGTGTACTATATAGAAACAAAATAGCCTTATTCTGCACAAAAAACAAAAAAACAAAAACAAATAATATTTTTAGTAGCTAAATTATTGCTACTAAAAAATTATTATGTTTGAAAAGAGGAAGAACAAAAAATATTGTAAATATTTTTCAGTTATCCAAAAAGGAATAAATGTACATGTCAGATCCATGGAACTTTCACACACAGAGTTTATAAGATATTTTTCTTTTGCAGTGAAAAATCTTTTATGTTTTGAAGATTGTTGCATTTTACTTTCAAATGAAACCAGAGTTGTAAAAAGGCCAACAACAACTATATACACCCGAAATATTTTGACTGAATGATATAAAAATAGCCTATTTATATAATTAATCAATCATGTACACAAATTCTTGAAAGCTTCATTCATAAAATTAGTAAAAAAAAAATCATACATATTTTATTGTTAAAAGTATTAATATGAATATCTGAACAATGTATGCAAAATGGAATTCATGAAACTAGTTGGATGTTCAAATTTTTTTATGTTTTTGTCAATATTTGTTTTGAAAATGCTCATACAGAGTAAAATGTTGATAAGAAAATATATTTTTAATTTGTTTCCTCAAACTTTTCATGATAAATAAGTTTAATGATTTGCAAAATGTGGGTTTATTTTATACAAATTTGTGATTTATGTCTAGAACATGTGTCTATATATTATTGAATAAACTTACTAGAAGTAGGAGCAGTTGCTCCAGATGGTGTAGAAGGTGCTTGTGAGGCAGGCGGAGGTGGGGGTGGAGGAGGCATGTTGGCAGGACCCCATATTGGTACAGGAGGAAATCCAGGAAATAATACTGAAAATAAAAATAGTTCTTCAAATATATTATAATAAAAGATGTTTAGCATAGACAACCCTGAAGTAATTTCATAATTTGCAAAGAAATATGTACTTAGTTTTATTTAACAAATAATTTTTCTGTTTAAGAATATAAATATATAAATTTTGGATAGGTGAATTGTGACAAGTTGCAGTTTTATATAAAAAATGACTGCACACTATAAATCTTCTAGAGTACCATAAATACTTTCTGAAGGTTTGCAGTTAAGAACTCACAGAAAACCCTATTAATATAACTTTAAATAAATTCTATCTGAAATAATGTTTTCAAGAGTTCAAGTACAATTTATCAAATTGCCATAAAATTTGTGTTCAACTAATTTAAAGACCTTGAGATTCTTCACATTTTTTAAAAAACTTTTTTCTACATTTAGAAATTGACCGATATACATAATATTGTATTTAGGAAAGAAAAAAAAAATACCATTGTGTGGAAATTGCGGATGAGGAGGCTGGAGCTGAGGCTGAGGAACATTTTGCTGCTGCTGTACTTGCTGCTGCTGCTGTTGCTGTTGTTGTGTTTGTTGTGGACGAGTTATACGCAACACATCCATGCGACATGTTGGACAAGTTTGTTGGCGCTGAAACCAAGACCTCAAACAGCTAGCATGGAAAATGTGATTGCATGGTAATTTTTTACAAGCTGTCACCATTTCTTCTCTGCATATAATGCAAACATTATCACCTGAGGATAGTTCCTCAGCTGTTGCATCAGGGTATCTAAAATATAAAATAATTTAGCAATTGAATATTAAAATCATTTACTTTTTATCAAACTGCTATTATACAGAGACAGATAAGCAGCTAATACATAGATATTTTGATTACAAATTTATCAGTAATATTCTCTTTCAGCTCTAAAAATTGTAATAGTCCAAATAAAAATGTAACAATTCTGTGGCATAGACAAAGAAAAATTTACTTGCAATTCAGATTTGTCTGTCATGCATATGAAACAGATGTCACCATAGCCAAGACAAAGGAACAGTATAGCCCTTAAAAATGAAGTTGTGATTTGTCATAAGGATGTTGAAGGATATGACAAGATTGCCAGTAAGTCTCATCTTGCTAATTGTATGTGTTATTAAGAGTTTAGAAACTGGAACTGTAGTGAACAAGTGTGGAAAAGGTTGTAAACATATCAGCAAAATGCAGAATAGTGATGATTGCACAAAATAATCCTAGAACAACTAGCAAACAAATAACTGATAAAACAGAAGCTGTAAGTATAAAATTTTCCAGCAAACAGTGGGTTAAATTCTTGAAAGAGCAGCATTGAAATTATGTTGTCTTAGAAAGATCTCTCTTTTGCAGCCTCACCATTTGAAAGCATGTTTGAAGACTAAAGATAATACTGAGAAGATTAATTAATATTGGGGCAAATAATATGGTCTAATGAAACAAAAATTGTTTTTTGGTCTTGGAAGAAAAGTGATGAAGTTCATTTGTTTACAGTGAAGTAGGGATGTATTTTTCAATGAAATCTAACATCCGTTAAATGCATGTCATCTGGATTTCTTAAAAAATTTTTTATTGTTAACGGCAAAAATTCTTATGGCCATCCCTACCCGCTACCAAAATGTAACTAATAACTGATACATCAAAATACAGACATAATGAACATGCAGACACCCCTTGTCTCTAGTAGAAGTGGATTTATCTGTAACCTTGGAAACGTGAATTATGATTTTAGCTGTGTCTTTAAAAGCCAGTAATTTTAAAAGTTACTCCAAAATTCGCTTGAGGATGAAATGGAACTAACGTCTTTAATTTAATTACAAAATTAAATTTGTAGCTTTTTGCTTCTATCAATTAATTTATAATATTAATGCTCTGTAAATTTACATTGAGCACTATTTTGTAAAAATAAAAATATCTATAAGAACACCAGATCATATATCTTACTGTTCTTTCTTTATATATATATATATATATATATATATATATATATTAAGAATTGGACAAAGTCCGACAATTTATTAAAGATATTTTTATGTTTAACATTCTTTTTATAGATACAAGTATTTAAGTAAATGCTCTGTTTATAATAAACAGTATTAAATAACATTTACTGGCCTGAATGTCCGAGAAATTTTCATAGAAAATATTCGTCCTTTGACAGGATTCAAATCTGCATCCTATATGGAACCGTCATTTACGCTGATGTGCCTTTAACCGATTCGGCTACAAAGGAGCGTTCAGTAGGCAAGGTCAAATTTACTGCTTATAAACTTCAATCTCCCATGAATCTCGTACATTCATAACTGCTCATGGCGTATCAAATGTAAACAAATGACGTCATACATTAAGAATTGGACAAAGTCTGACAATTTATTAAAGACATTTTTATGTTTAACATTCTTTTTATAGATACAAGTATTTAAGTAAATGCTCTGTTTATAATAAACAGTATTAAATAACATTTACCGGCCTGAATGTCCGAGAAATTTTCAAAGGACGAATATGAAAATTTCTCGGACATTGTCTTGTGAGTATCAGATTCTCCAAGCCATCTTTTCTCATTGTGTCCCAGAAATTTCAACTGTCTTTCTGATCCTAAGCAAAAGTAAACTTTCTATTCCTATTTTATTTAAAACTTCCTTGTTAATCATATTTTCTTTCCATGGTATTATTAGCAGCAGTATTATCTGAGTACAACTGATTCAGATTATCTGCAGAACTACATTTGTTACCTCTTCATCTGAGGAGGAAGGAATACAGCATTTACTGCTTTATAGGAGGAATTGATATTACAGAAGAGTTGAGCACTAATGTTGTTTCCAATGAAATATACATGTTTCTTAATATTTTGCTTAGTTTCTATAAAGCAACCTTCACTTATCAAATTCATCTTCAGATTTCTGTGCCATATTTTCTGTCATCTCTTTCAACACTTACAGTTAAATTTCTATGCATTACTGTATTTTGATATCTCCTTCAATTTGTAACTCTCCTCTTGCCAATACATTCTATCTTCTTACAATTAATGGTTAATCCTATCTTGTCTTTCCTTTACTACATATTTCATGTCTGTTATCAATACAGTTTCTTCTGCATATCTTATGTTGTTGTGGTTTGTGCTAATCAGTAAATCCCAGGAGAATCTCCAGTGAGAAATCATATCATTATCTTATGAACTTTTCTATTTTTGTGTACTTAATTTATTTTCTATTTATATGCAGGCAGTTTACTGCCAGTATATATTTTAGATTATCTGAATATATTTCCTGAATAAAACAGTTCAAATAGATGTTTGTGCTGATCCTTGTCAAATGCTTTTGCACTATGAAACCTAGGTATACATCCTTTTGTATTTGTATTGATGCTCTAAAATCATTCTGATCATAAAGACTGTTAAAAACACTGGTTCAGTGAATAAAAATCCACACTGTTCTTATGCGATTTCTGGTTTAATTCTGTTTCAAGTTCTATTCTTCAGAAACTGGATAATAAAATTAGTTATGTTGCTCATTAAGCTGACAGTGTGATGGAGCTTACATTCGATTGTGCCTGATTTCTGTGGCAGCACAAAGATAAATCTAAGACTTTCCAGTATGTTTCCACTGTCATATATTTTATTTATTATTTCTGTAATCTTGTCCATCTCAAACTCATCTAAAACTGATTTCTATTACAATTCCATCTGGTTCTACTGTTTCATCTTGGCAGTGTTAATTTTACCTAAGATTTTAATATTTCAGGTTTTTCCATGTTTTTGTGTGTTGTAGGTTTTCCGCTTTCATTACGGAAGATTTCTGATGTATTCATTTCATCTTTGAAGTATTTTTCTGTTTCTATTATGAGCATTTCTTCTTTCAACTTTATACGTCCTGTCTAGGAGGACATCTTTTGTCCTCTTATTTTTTTTTATGTACACCTTCCCTATCTCTTTTGACTGTATTTTTTGTCCTAATGTGTGTGCGTTTAATATTTTGTATTCCGTAGATTGACTTGGTATTGCTGTTTGCTGTCTTTTTCATCATATTGAGTTTCATCTGTCATTCATTTTTTCTTCACTTTTGGTATGATCTCATTCATTATCACTAGAGCTTCCTTTAAGGTGTTCTACTTAGAATTTCTGGTTTTCTCTATGCTATTAAATTTGTTCTTAACTGCCAACTTACAGCTGTTTGCAAGTTGCATCTTCCTGAAATTTTGGTATTGATTTGGATTTTTTTTTTCATCTCCTTAATCTAATTTTACATTATAAAGCAATGTAGTAACTTCTACATTTTAGAAAATTTTCTAGGTTTCTGGTACATATTTAAATATAAAATAATACAACATTTTCATGCTAGTGAAGATGAGAATTTGTTAGTTTTCTTATGTTCTTCCATTGTGTTAGTTGATGAGGAGGTTGAATAATGAATATTATCAGGACTGTAGAATAAATCAAAGATTTTGACTGAAGAAATTTCTAAAAGTTTGAAAATTGATATTTCAATTGCTTTTCTCCATTTGAAGAGACTTGGGTTCAAGAAAAATGTCTGATTTTGGCAAATCGAAAAGGTGTCATTTTCTACAATGACAATGCAAGACTGCATGTTGCAAAACAGATCTTAAAGCAGGAGCTTAAAGAGTTGAAATGAGAAACTCTAGCACATTCTTCTGACTTCTTGACTCTTTCAGATTTTCATTTGTTCCAGTCTCTACAGAACAATTTAAGCGACAAAAACTTTGGCTGTACAACCTTCCTCCAAAAGAAACCTCAAAACTCCTACAAAAATGACATCAACAAGCTTGTAGAATGATGGCAGACAGTTGTTTAAAAAAATGGAGACTATGTACTTGCCTAATAAATATTTTTTTGTGTGTATATAAAATTTTATTTTCAATTTTTGAATTGGGTACAAATTTTTGCAATGATCTAATACATTGTTTAAATTTGTTCTGGAAAGTTGATATATATATATATATATATATATATTATATATATATATATATATATATATGCCAAGTTTTTTAACTTCCACTCCCTCCATTAATATTTTCTATCTTATTTGAACTTTGTCCCCAGTGAGCCTCATATATGGCATTCTCTCTCCAAAGATTTTTCTACTTTTTCTTTGTATGTAAACTTTCCATATTACTTGAACTTGATTTTATGGGACAAAGCTGCTTTCTATTTTATGTCTTTTCACATTGGCATGAGATGTTTGGAAATGCAAATTTTTGTTTCAAGGGACCATCATTAGTAAGAAGGAAATGAAGAGTGAACATGTCATTAAATATCATCTTCATGCTATAACATCAAAATAGTGTGGAATTACTTAGCCACATTTTTAACTGTGTCAATAACTTATACTTAACACACACACACACACAAATATTTACACAATATTTTCTGCAATTTACAACCCATTGGAACCTAGTCTCCCTTTTTAATTTGTATAGTAGGCTATTATGATAAAGTCACTATATGTTTATTAGTATTGTATACTTGAATCTAGGCAACCACAAATTTACTAATCTGCTACAATGTTATGAACAGAAATCACTATTCTGAAAGTTCTTATTTTCATTTGACTTTTAAATAAAATATTTATATGTGAGTTGGTTAAACCTAATGAGAAAGCTGTATGAAACCAACTTTATATTTGCATAACACCTAGTATATTTAATACCTAGTATATTTAACATTTAACTCTTAAGATGGTCTCTCAATAACAATTGCAAAAGTTTTTTTCATTGTTTTTTTTTTTCTGATAATCTTTATGAAAAAAGAGTTCAGGACAATAACAAGAAGAAAAAAATGCTCCTTACAAAGTGTTCATGTTTCGTATTGCTCTCCTGGACATAATGATATCATTCAATGCTTTTTTGAAAGCCCTAAAAAGAATAAATAAAAGAAAGCTTTCATGAAAACTGAGAGATGTATTGATGATTTTGATAATAGGAATAATAATAAAAAACATCTTAATGTTTTGATATTATTAATAATATAGAAAAAAAATAAGAGGGGGAGAGAGTTACTAGGATATAACTATTTCCCCATTGTAATTCATACTCCTAAATTTAATGAATTTAAAGATGAAAAAAAATGAAAAATTTGACAGTTTCCATAAGTGAAGGTTTTCATAAACGTAAAAATAAAGATTTAGAATATATTGTTATATTATAATATAAATTGTAAAACAAAATAATTTTTCTAATGTTTTGTGGAGGAATATAAGACATTTAAAGCTGTGTGGTTTTATAAATTAAAAGTTATGATTTTTTTTAAGTGAACACTATAAAATTAACTTCTGGTAAATAATTGACACTAACATTTTAAACCTATTTTTGAAAAGAGTAATGTTCAATTTACACATTAATACAAATTTAGTATTGGTTGCAGATAATAAAAACAATATTTTTTCTTTACTCAAGTATTATTTATAAAAAATTCTCATGATTTATTATAGAAGTGTCAATAAAATAAAACCTACCTGACTGAAAGATACATTGGTCGTATGGCAAACAATGGGAATGTGTGTACTTTTATCACAATGACCATAAACAAAACATATAAAAGTACTTTTATCAAGCCTAAAAAAATAAAAATCATAATACATATATAATATAAGTAAAGAATTATTAATATTATTAAGTTATAAACATTCAATTTACATTAACAATTCTATTTATTATAAAAAGTAATATTAATTTATTTTTATAGTATGTAAACTAGAATGGCATAAATTTGCATTTATTCACACGTGCATAGATATATATATATTTTATATAAAATATCTCAAAATGCATTACAATTTTAATGAATGTTACCAGTAGGAAAAATATTTAATATTGTGGAACAGATATGCAGACTAGAAGAATAACTTTTTTCACAACTAAATTATTTTCAAAATTTGTCAATTTAGAAAATATGGTTAATTTTGATACCCATAATTAATTCTGTATAGAGTAGGTAAACTGCCTTGTTTTCCCATGGATTTTCACTCTGGAGGTCTATAGCATGGAGGGCGTATTTGGTTAATGTCATCAAAACTACAGTCAACAAAATTGCATACTGGAAAGAAAAGAATCATTCAATTTTAAATTAAATTTCAAATATTAATCAATTTTCTAGGCTAATGCATAATTCAAACAAATTAATCTGCAGAACAAAGCATAAAAGTGTCTTAGAGGTTTTGTCATGTAATGTAAAACAAAAATACATGGGAAAGGTTTCAATTCATGAGTAGCTTTTATAGGGGTGAGCAATCACTTTACAGGTCAAAACAAGATTGGTCATCTAGAATTTTGGAGGTGCACCCATATATCATGTTGTATCATCAGCATAGATATTCACAAATCATCAGAGTATACTCTTAGGCAGATCATTTATGTAAAGTAGAAAGAGGGTTGGGCTGTGAAGTAACCTCTGGGGGATGCCCGTGTAGGAAAACAACCATTTTTCTATCATCCTTAGTGAGGGATCATATGTACAAGTTCCATTTGAGGTTCAGATTGAGCGTGTCTCAAAGCACAGGGCCTTCTTGTGGGAACACTCATTCATTGTGATTGGTGGAAGTTCTTTTGTGATGATGAAATATAACTAGTTTGGTTTTTTGAGTCACTGAATATGACCAACCAGTTCTTACCCCACTGAGCTATTAGAGCTAGGTCAGAGGAGAGATCAGCTGCCAATCTCTAGTCATCTAGAATTTTGGAGGTGCAAACCAAATATACTGTTGTATCATCAATATAGATATTCACAAATGATCCGAGTTTACTGTTGGGCAGATCATTTATGTAAAGTAGAAAGAGAGTTGGACCGAGAAGCAAACCTTGGTGGACAACTTCATTGATCTCTAGAACCTCAGGAGACTGGCTAACAACCACCTGCAGGGACTTACCCGTTAGGAAGGGCTTTATAATTTAAAAGACTCTTCCAGTGATTCTATAGCAAGAGAGCTTATGCAATAACCTTTATGTCACACTTGGTCAAAGGCCTTTGAAATATCTAATGTGATTGTCCTTGAGATGTATTTGTCTAGTGCATCACTGATTTTGTGAGTAACAGTAGCTAGCATATCAGCAGTGGCACAAACTGATTGAAACCCATACTATTTGTCATTGAAGAGTTTGTACATACTGAGGTGATCAAAACCCTTCTTCAAAACATTTGTTAATGACACTGATGAGGCTGCTGGGGTTGAGTGCACACTTGCATTCTTGATAATAGGGCATACTCACAGACTTAGGAAGGATTTCTTCTTTAGGCTAGTTAAATAATTTTGCTAAGTTTGGCGATAACTCAGGGTTAATATTCTTATGGACAACCACTGAGATTTTATCTAGACCAGTAGCTTTTCAAGTGTCAAAACTTGATAAGTCTTGAGACTTCTCAGACTGTAATAAAATGTTACTGAGATTGTACTCAGTGAGATGAGAAAGTGGGTGTCCTTTGTAATCTAATGTTGAGTTAGAGGCAAAGATTGTGCTGAAGTGCTTTGCCTTATCTGATGAGGATGGGGTGACCTCGGAGCCATTTATAATAGTAGACACATATTTTGCTTCTATCCAGAATTTGATTGGTGACCCCTCCTAGGATTCAAGTTGTTTGCTTATGCTTTTGTTCTGAACAGCTTAAGTATAGATATGCTTTGCATTTTCTAGAACTCTCTTGCAATGGACTGGCTGTTCAGTCTTTGCTGGATTTTTTTCTGGGGTGTAAAACTCTTCATTCCAGAAAGAATTCACTCTGAGACAAGGGCAGCAGGTTAGGCGGCAGTATGTTTGAAGGTTGAGAGAGGAGCTTCTGCCATCTAAGATCTGAAGCTACCCTAGTCTGCCTTTGTGAACTAAAAAATCGTTTTATAGAACGGCACATCAGGAAATGCCTTTGGTTCGGTATCAACTTTGACACTGACTAGTGAATGATCTCAAGTACCCTATAAAACTTTTTCAAAGCATTTTTCAGGGAAGGATGTGAGAAAAAGGTCAAGGAGCTTTGTCTGATATCCTGTTGCACCAGAAATATGGGTGAGTTCTTTAATGATTTGAGTTAGTTCACAGGTGACAGAGAAGTATTTGCAGTATCTGCCTGCTCCATCAGTTTTGTTCAAGTGGACTAACCACTCTTTGTCGTGAATGCTGAAAGTCACCACAAATATGAAAGCTAACTGAGGGATATTCAGTGAGGATACAATCTTCTCAGATATTCATTTGAACATTAGAGTTCCATCAACCAGAGTGAAAATGAGAATGGTACTGTGAACACGTATCCAGGGTCCTCATTTTTTTTTTTTTTTTTAAAAATCACTGCCACATGGAAACCCATTCTTAATATAAACACTATGTTTGTGGTGATTTTGATGGTCATGTTTAGCTATTAGGGGCAGCAAGCAACCAGAGATTGTAATTTCCTGCACTGAGTATCAATACCAATTTCAAACAGGAATAGGAGATCCAGTTTGGCATCAAGAAAAATGAAGAAGTAGTAACCCATTGGATACTGATGACAGGATTACACAATGTTTCATTTGCAGATCACACAAACATTGGTCTCTGGGGCACCTAGAGGTGGTGTAATGGTTAACAAGCTTGTCTCACTAGAACAATTACGACTGAGTAGTGAGTTCGATCCTCAATGGGTGCCTCCTACTTTCAGCTTTGTGCCACATCTAAGCTACACTTGGAAAATCACCACAAACATTGGTCTTATAGCTGTCCTCATGCCAATGAGTGAAGCTGAGGAGGTACATAAATTCAACTTTGAACAGTTTCACCATTAATTTGATCTGGGTGCCCGACAATTTATACACAAACTAGAAAAATCTAATAGAAAATTATACACACATGTTGCCAGATAGTTTCAATAAAATTTGTGTGAATGAATTCTTGCTACTAGAGTATGTGTGTGTGGAGAAAAGAGAAAAATTGCAAGTTTTTTTTTAATGACAACATTTCACCTCCATGTTAGGTCGGCATCTTCAAGTCAGAATGAAAGATAAATTGATTTTTTTCCTTTGTCTGTTAGCTATGTTGGTGTCTCCCAGCCAAAATGAACATAACTGCATTTTTTTTGTATTAAATTTATATTAATTTTGTATTATTATTGAATTTTAAATTAACTTGCTCTGAGTAAATTGGTTATTCTCTCTATTAGCTCATATACCATTGTGCTGCTATTGTAATGATCAGTCATAGTATGTATTGTACAGAAAAAGAATTGGATTAAAATTAACTGACTAGAGTACATTGTCTAGAAACAAACACTTTTGGAAGAGAAACAAAGTGATAAAGTAAAAGAAGAATTAAAGAAACTGTAGTCACTTATTAGTGAATTGAACTTGGTGGACACACAAACACAACCAGGTGTGTCTTTTGGTGTGTATGAACTAAGCAGAGCAAGTCAAGTGGAACAAATGGATTACACAGAGCAATTAAAATAAGGAAAATAAAGGTAAGGGAAATCAAGTGGAAGTATATTCACTCAGGCAATATAAAAGAATTGGTGATTGAATACTCTGATATATCATTTTGTAATATGGAAAGAAGAAGGTTCCAGGGAAGGTGCAAGACGATTCATTGCTGCTGACTCAACATCAGCCAACTCAACTCAAGGACAACTCACCACCAGCTTATTCAATGTGAGGACAACTCAACAACATGCAAACTATGAAATTTTTCAGCAACATTTTAAAAATAAGTAAAGTAATTTATTAAGGATCATTTTTTTTAATACATGACTATTTTTTAATTTAAAAATTTATTGAAAATTGTACAGAATTCCCACTCAAATATTCAGTTGGATATCGTTGGGAAAAAGAAGAAACAATCTGCACAATTCTTTTATCTGCCTTCATAGACTTTTTCAAATTAGGGGGATGACCTATTAATTACTCAAAAAATGCATGTTTCTTTGCACCTTTTGTAGCCCTGTAATGAATCACCATATTGTGGGGAGCTCCATCCCCAGCTCTGTATGCAGTTTTCTATTTGCTGCTTCAGCATAGTTATTTGTTCAATCTTGAAAATTAAACATCAGTCAGCTAAACAGGCTGTTGCAACCAATAAATCACTAAGACAAACAGCCAAACTTTTAAAATCTCTATGGCTCAAAGCCGATCTAAGAGATGCGCACACTATGCCAGCCAACACTGGGCTGAACGTATGTATTTGATGCCAGCATTGAGTTGTCCTTCTGCTGAGTAGGTTGGGGAGGAGTTGTCACAGTGTTGAGTTTGTTGGTGTTGAGCTAGCAGTAATGAAATATCCCATCCCACCCAAGGAGGCTATACTATCTTCCTTAGTGTAGAATATTGGTTAACTTGCAAGTGGTCTGACACACAGACTAGTGTAGGCACTTCAAGTTGAAAACAGCACTGAATGATTTGATGGAGAGATATATGGGTGAATAGAGTCCACTCATGCATTCATGTGTTGGACAGGTCCATTCTAGTAAAGTGGACTAACCCACCTGCTGTATTAGATGAGGTAGATTAGCTGGCCTGCCTTTCCAAGGAGGCAGCCATGTTAGAAGGTAAGTCATTTGATTTTTCAACTACCAATTTGCCCTGATAAACCTCCCTTCTCAGCAAATGAAGAAAATGTGGAGAACCTGAAATAGTTACTAGAACAATTTGCTAATTCAGTGTTCAAGACTGATGGGCAATTACCAGCCATGTCTGGTAAACCCACACATATCCACCTAAAGGATGTGGCAGTCCCTAAAGCTAAGGACAAACCTATACCAGTGCCATACCACATTAAACTCCCCCAGATCCATTCAGAGATGACATCTCAGCAATTCCAAAAGTTCAGGATTGAGTGGGAGGTATTTGTATGAATGACAAACGTGACCCCCCTCCCCACACACACACATCCAATTATACAACTGTGCTGATGGTATGGTATCTGGCAACATATGTGTATAATTTTCTTTTAGATTTTTCTAGTTTGTGTATAAATTGTTGGCCACCCAGATCAAATTAATGGTGAAACTGTTCAAAGTTGAATTTATGTACCTCCTCAGCTTCACTCATTGGCATGAGGACAACTATCTCTCCATTAAATCACTCAGTGCCCTTTTTATACTTGAAGTGATTACACCAGTCTACCTGCATGTCAGACCACTTGCAAGTTAACCAATATTCTACATGGTGCTGTGAATAGGATTTCTGGGGTCTGGCCTTGGAGAAAATGGGACCAGTGTTGATTCTATCTCCACAACACTATTTTTGTTAGATAACACCGATGAGCCGGTCTCCTGGTCAAACTCTACGTGTGCAATCAAACTGTCCATGTTAGGGGGAAAATCAATTGACTTATACCCTTAGTAATAATGAAAGATGTTGTTAAATCCACTTTAGCTCTGTTTGAGGCTGCTGAAGCAAGGATATGCTATTCTGAAATAAGTATTACAGATCAGTGAAGATTCACCTAATGTGGAATGGTATCTAGAGAATACAGACATTGTTGAGTGTATGCTCAATAAGACTAGTACATGATAAGTGGCTCCAGATAGATATATCTGTCCTTAAGGATATGATTGAACAAAGATGCAGTGTACTGGGTCCAGTTGGAAATGTTTTGACCAAGTGGTGGGTATCTACAGTTACCCTAGTGAAAAGTAATTGGAAATCATTTGAGAGAAAAAATTTAAGAAAAAAAGGGTAAGAGTTGTTGAATAATGAATGTTACCAGGATTGAATTCACAAACTCAAGTTAACAAAAGTATGTGTAATACTCTTATAATAAGCTGGACCACATACTAATTAAAATAAGCACTTCCATGTGAATAAAATAAACTCCTTATAGTAATTTGTGTGGAGAAGATTTGAGTGTGCTTGGTGAATCTATGCTACAGATCTTAATGAGTGATAGATGTATTTGAGTTATCAGATAAATTCCATGCTAAATGATGTGATAATGTAGTGGCTGTGAAACAAATTTTGAATTTTTATTAGAAAAGCATTCTCAAAGATAATTCATAGAGAGTATATTGCTTTGTTGTGTTGTTGATGATGATAGTGTCGGAATGTTTTAGTCTTTTATAATCAATGATAAGGTTTATTTATTTATTTTTGTCATTATATTATATGTAGTATCTATGTATTCATTTTCTGATATTATTCTTCATTTACTTTCTGGTTACTGTGTCATTGATAACTTTATAATAATTTAATAGTATTTTTTAAAATTTTTTATTATTGTTTGATTTAATTTTTACTAATGTTAGCTTGCTTATCAAATATGTGGTTAGGGAGTTTACAGTTAAGTGACAAATTTTATTTGAATGACATATATATATATATATATATATATATATATATATATATATATATATGAATGATAGGATAAAGAGCCAATAGGAAATTTTTATAAACCTACAGGTTTCAGTTTTATTAAAGGTTTGTCAGCAGAGATTGAGAGAAAATAGGTAAAGAGATAGAAAACACTTGTATTTTCAATTATGTTTGGATCAGTTCTCATTGGTCAGACACGTGTCATTTATTAAAACTGGATATTTCTATGTGTATGTAGGTTTGTGAAGATTCTTGTATGTCTAAGTGAGCATTGGGCAGTAACATGTATTCATAGTTGTATAAGTGTGTGTCTGGTGTGAGTTCTCACATCTTCACTTTCATGTGGTCAGCCCATGCAGTGGGATGTCACAAGGTTTTAATTTATGGCTGCTATCTTTAAGCATGTATTCTTTGTATTAGATATGTTAGATTCTTTAAGAATGGATTCAAAGAAAGATGGCAATGTAATATGTTTTTTTTTTTAATTATAGTGACATTAGTGAAAACAAAGTTATGTCCACCATTGTTTCAATGAAAAACAAGAGAGTTAGATTGCTTGTCAAACTCAAGTCTCTCTTGTGTTCATAGATGCAGGATTTTAGATCATGAGATGTCTCCCCTGACAAACATTTTTGTATTGTAAACAATTTATTTGATAAATCCTGGCATTTGAATTGGTTTTCTCGCTAATTATATCTCCAATTGTGTTGGAGGTGGTGGTGATGATCTTAGTATTAGGGATGACTAATTTCTTTGTGAGTTTAGTAGAAAGAGTGTTGAAGGGAAGGATTATGAATTTTGTTTAATTTTTGTTTGAAGTGTTATTGGTGCTATCTGTTTGGCTTTGTGGATTTTGTAAGCTTTTTTTTTTTTTTAAAGTTTTTTTAGCACTGAGAATAAAATGATGTGGGTAGAGAAGTTTGAAAGTTTTCTCAATATATTTCTCTTCTTCATTTAGGTATTCCGGGCTACAAATCTCAAGGGCTCTGAGGTAGAATCCTATGACTAGTCCTGATTTTATTTTTTGATTGTAGTGGGAATAGAAGTTGATTAAATCATTTTTGTTTGAGGGTTTACAGTATACTTTAAAATCTAATTTCTCATTGTTGCATATTAATAAGGAAAGGTAGAGAATCGTATATTTTAGTGTGTGAATTCAATGGTAGGTTTCATTATTATGTCAAATAGGTTTGTATCTTGGGAATATAATAATAAGAGGATGTCATCTATAAATCCTAGATAAGTAGAGCTGTTTGGTAAAATGTGTCTAAATGGAATGGATTCTAAGAATTCTAGGAAAAGGCAAGCAAGAACAACACTGATAGGTGATTGCATAAGTAAGTCAAATTTTTGCTTGTAGAGAATATTGTTGAAAGAGAAGAAGCAGTGCTTAGTTTGCATATTTTTATCATTTTGTGGACAGGTAAAGGTAGCTTTTCACAGGACTTTTTTGAGGTGGTTTCTCAATAGGTTGACACATTTCATGATGGGTATGTTGGTGTATAATGATTTCATGTCTAAGCTCGCCATGTTTTCCATATTTATGTTTTGTATTCTGTAGATTAAGTCACAAGAGTGTTTGCTATGTATCATGTTGATGGTTTCTAGGAATGAAGTTAGGACATTTGCCATGGCTCTAGTTAATTTGTGGGATGCACTATTGATACCAGACACAATTGGTCTGATTGGTATGTAAGGTTTGTGCGTTTTAGGTAAGCTGTATAGTGTGGGTGTGATAGTAGGGTATCCTACTAATCTGGTCCAGGATTTGTTTTCATTTTTAATAGTTTCCTGTTTGTTCATTGTTTTTTGTGTAGCCATGGGTCAAGAGGGTAGCTGCTGGAAGACCCTGTGTCTGGCAACAGGACTGCACCACACAAGCAGAAGAATGCAGTCATGGCTGTCAGATAATTTTTGTGACCACATCACCCCTTACATCTGGCCATCTCGATTATTATGTGTGCAGTGCAGTTGAGTGAGAGATCAACAAAACTCCTTGTAACACCAAAGCTGAACTCAAGTCAAGGATTATGTCTGCATTCTACAAATTAAACAAGGAGAACACCCAGAAGAGTTGCATAAGATTCCAAAGTCATCTGGTGGCTGTAGTTGAAGCCAATGGCAATTTTATTGAATAAATTTACTCTTTAGTATTTCAAGATGTATATATCTATCTCAGCTAACTGACAAGTTTTATTTGTATTAATCATATATATATATGTGTGTGTGTGTGTAAAAAAAAAAAAACAAGAATGAAAAAAATAAATCAGAGAACATTACCTCAAATCCAAATACCAACTGTACAGAAGCTCCTCTTAACAAAGTGCTATAATAGGCATGATTAATGAAATAAGCATCCACACTTGCAAGAGCAATTATCAAGGCTGAAAGAAAAATAAAGTTAATAAATGTTAGAAATAATTATAATATATATCCCGCAAAACACAGTTTATATTGATTATAACTAAATTCATTATACATTTTAATTTTAATCTAACATAGCAAATGTTTAAGAAAAAAAAAAAAAAAGAGTTAAAATATGTATAAGACATTAGAAAATATTATTTTCTATTCTTTGTAGAATTTCTATAATTTACAAGTTCAATATTGCATGCACCACATTTTCATTGTTTTGAAAATAATAGAAAGAACAAAACTAACAAAAAATTATCTAATGAAGGGAACAACAATATTAGTGTTATTTTACAAAAATTGGAGGCTGTCTGCATACCAAACATTTGTGCTTGGTGCAAAAATCAAGCTGATGTGGTCCACACTTAACCTATTGTTCAGAGTGTTTCAGTGCTCCTAGCAGTCAGTGATGTGCCTTATGCTTGTTTTATGATTTTGTGATTAATGGCTGCATTAGAACTATCATCATTTCTTAAAGTAGGCTAATATATTTTAAGGTTTGTTTTTCTTACTTCATTTGATATTTTATTACAGCATAAATAAAAATGTAGTAATATTTATAATTTTATATTATGCTATTCAGTGTGAATATTCAGAAGGTTCACTGCAAAAATATTAATGTGACATTAGTCACAAATACTGTATTGCACTAGAACAGCAACTCTCAATTCAGAATAATTTCTTAAAAATTGTTTTTTTAGTATTGACTAGTTCCATAATCTACAGTATATAAATACTACTATTCTAAATTCCCTAAAGATTTTTTTTTTTTAAAAAAGTTCTAACAAGTGATGAAAAGTAGATACTTTTTAACAACATAAGAATATAATAGATTGTTGGATAAATGAAAGGAAAAACTAAAATGAAAGGCTAGAAACAAAGTCTAATTGAAAACACAGGCCAACATCAACCTTGAGACCTAAGAAACCACTGATGTAAATTGGCTTTCCTGGCATAGGACCATCTGAGGGATTGAGGTGGTGGAGGTTGAGACATCCAACTGTCAACATGAAAATGATCCAAGACATGCTGTCAGGAGAGCTGACTTGCCCAACCATATCTAGCATCCACACTCCCCTGTGACTCCTGCTCATGACTCTTCAGTAGTATGCTGGACCTTCAGAGGCATTTCCATCACCAGAGGGGAGAAAGGAAATAAGGAGCGAGGACGACAATTTTGATGTTTGGATGCAAGCAGATGCCAATGACAAATGAGTATCATATTCTATTAGGATAACACCATATGCACATTTCTTTGGTAACCAGAGAAATTTTTTTTATATATATTATTTAATCTAGTCTTTACAGAAATATTTCAATGAGAAAAAAAAAAAAAAAACAATTTTAGAGCAATCTTTTGCAGAGAAAGACAAAAAGTTATGCGAAAGATAAAATTATGAAGCTGCTTGAAAAAAAAAAAAAAAAAGGGGGGGGGGCAGGATATATTGGAGCTAAAACAGTAAGTATATTCAATAAAATTAATGTATTTACAGCTAGTGCCTTCTTAATAAATGTTTACAATGCTGAGTTTGGTTTCTTTTGAAGAAGAAAAAAAAGAAATCTAATATTAACAGTTGGCAATAAACAGTGCCTAATATCAGGCCTTTCTAAAAACCTGAATGCAATCAGATATTAAATAAAATATTGCTTCATAAAAGAATATGTGATATTGTAGCAGTTCTTGATGCTTTACTTCTCTCTCCATGGATATTGTGGGGTAATCCATGTTTATTCAAAACTTGTAGAATAAAACAAGAGAGAAATGATAAGAATTCTATACACTCATCACTAGGTTTATTCCATTGAATACAGTGATCACACAAAGGTAAGTGGAAGAAATGCAATTAGTTCTTTAACTGGGAATTGAAAAAGAACTTTAATGTGAATGATTTAATGATTGAAGCTATGTCCCCTGAATTAACTTTGTTTAGCCACTTGTTAGTTTGGCTGTGTTTCAGGAATTTACACTAATCAATGTTATTCTTCCTCCAAACAGCTTTGACAACTAACTTCAGGCTCAAAGTTTACTTCCTGGGTAAATACCATGCATACCTTCCCAAAACTTTTGACAAAATGTCAATTGTGTCACTTGTGTGTATCCTTCTAACATCTTGATTAAAGAAAAAAAATAATGTATGGCTTTTTCTTTCATGTTTCAAACCATGAATATGAAAATTTAATCATTGTTTTTTTTTTTTCTTAATAATTCTAATATTTACCTCTTTTTTAATGCCATATCCCTTCAGGATATAAGTATTTATGGCTCTCCACTAGTTCCGTTTCTTCATTTGAGAATTGCCATGATTATCTTGGGAAAGATAGTGCAGAGGTTTTCTCTATTGCCTTAACTATGGTTTTGAATTCAGAATAATTCTTCTCATTTGACTCATTGTGGCCATCAAAGGCTAAAAACTACCCTACTATTTAAACCATATCTGGAAAGAGAAGAAATGGATTTATGTATTACCAAAGGAGATTAGTTTGAAAGTGCAAACTGCAAAGTAGGTTTTAAGTTGAACTTTGCTTGTCAATTCCACTTTCTGTGCTGATATTGATTTTCTAAGTGAGGCTTAGATGTGGCACATGGCCAAAAGTATAGGGCACCCAGTGAGGATCGAACTCACTATTCAGTTGTAACAGTTTTAGCAAGACCAGCTTGCTAACCATTACACCACGCCAAGGAGCTCCTTTCTGTGCTGATAACCATTACACTATATAAGCATCTAACAATAGCATAATGAATTACAGAAATCAGTAAAAATTGATGTGAACTGGCTCCAATAGTCAGACACATGCTTCTGTAATTCTAAAATTGTGAGAATTATATACCACAACTAATAATTGGTCAGTTTTCTAGCTACTTACATGTAGTTTCTAGAGTAATGAAAAAGTAGTGACCGTTGATAGCATTTGCACAGTGAAGGATCAGGGTTTCTGTAATTTGGGCTTTTCTTCAAATTTTAATCAGAATTTTGAGAAACCTACTTTTGTATTAATATTTGGTCAAGAGATTAATTTTATGCATCACAGGTAGAGCAGGGGCTGCATCAATGGTTATTTGACTGAAATAGTTGTAATGAAGAAGTGCTGTTTTAAGATAATAGAATTTATAGGGTGGAATCTGTGAGCTTGGCTAATGTTGATTGTTGACATAGGAAAATTTTACCTATCTAATAGAGAAGGTGATTAGTCAATTATGGTGAATTACTTTTTTTAATTTTTTTTTAAAGCATTTTAATTCCTTTAGTATTATTTAATACCAAGATGTATTTAATAGTGGGTATTTGAGTTTTAGTTAAAAGGTTAGGTTAATTTTAAATTTTTGTATTGGTTTTCTAGGAGTTACATTTTTATGTATAAGCTTTTTTTTTTTCCCCCAAGAAGGATAAGTTGGTTTCTATGTAGGTATTGTTAAATCTTTAAATATTGTCTGTTTTGTAGTAGAGTTTTCTCATAGATGCAAAAATTGATGCATTGTTAAATGTTTTACAGTATAAGGATTTTGACAGGTTATGCATACTGGTTGGTCATTTTGAATGAAGATGTAGGACTGTGTACATTGTCTCATGATGACAACTTATTTGCATTTTTTTCTGTACTTTGATTAGCATACACCCAATGCCAGTCAGATTGAGTACAGTTTATTTTATGTGTTTTTGTTCCATCATTGTTACCATTTTTTAATTAATAATAGGTGTCTTTTGAGAGTTGATTGTTTGTTTTTCTTGGACATTTTTGCCATAATAACCCAAAGTTTTTGCATTTTATGAAGTAGTTGAGGTTACTCACAGTTTTTTCAAGACATTTTCTTGGTTTCTTTTATCATTCCACATGATTTTTCTCATTGTATCTTGTATGAATTTAAATCATAAACTGAGTTGTTTGCTAAATTTGCAGTTTCTGTTTTTTGATAGCTTCTTCATAATCTTTATTGAACCAGGGCCTATTTTATTTGAATTTGTTCTTGGTATGGATTTTGTTGCTACACTGATAAGGATTTTTCAGGACATAAATTGTTCTTTGATGGAGCTGTTTTTTTATTAAGTTTTGGTTTTTAAATTCCACCCAGTTTGTCTTCTGCATTCTCAAGACCAACAACTGAGAAGTGATTGCTTCCAGAAATGTTTTCATTAACTTTCCAATTGCAGTTCACAAAAATTGGATTCAGTAGTGATATATATCGATGATTGAATACATATCAGATGCTGGATAGAGAGGTCTCGGTTTTATTGTTAAAGATGCATATTATTGTATTTGATGTTTTCTATTTTTTTTTTTTTTTAACTTTTTGGTTTTGTATTCTTATGTTCCCAAATAACATCGATGTTGTTAAAATCACCCATTAAAATATGGGTGTGGGGTAGTTGTTAGATTAGGTTAATCACCTTATATACTAGCATAAAACTTCATGTATAGTGTGACCTCTTAATATTTTGCATGAAAAACTGATCATAAAAACTTACTATACTTGAGTATACAGGGTGTAATGGGTAAATTATTACCATTTTATATTTTTAATTTTGCAAATGTGCACTTTTTGTTTTTTAATTTTGTCAACTGCACAGTATAATAAGGTCAGTTGGGCACTGTCTGTGAGATAAAGAGCACCATGATGCAATTCACTCTGCCAGAAATTTGGAAACAGCATGCTGTACCACTTGGCATGCCACACAATCAAGAGAACCCAGTCATGGCTGTCAGACAATTTCTGTGAATACATACCCCTTATGTCTGGCCACCTAAATCCCCAGACTACAAACACCTTGATTATTATGTCTGGGGCACAGTTGAATGAGGAGACCAACAAAATTCCTTGTAACATAAAAAAAATGAAGGCAAGGATTATGGCAGCATTAACCAACTTAACAAGGAAACTGTCCTGAAGAGTTGCACAAGATTCCAAAGTTGTCTGGTGGCTGTGGTTGAAGCCAATGGTGATTTTTAATTGAATAAATTCACTCTTTGGTATTTC